TCCTTCAGAGGTCATGCAATTCAATAACCATCTTTAAAATAAACAAACAAAACAAACAAAATATATATATATATATATATATATGTATATTATATTAACAAAGGAAATAGAAGAAATAACAGTACAGATGGATAGCAATAAAACTGTACCATAGAGGCACAGAATAAGTTAGAGGAAAAACAAAAATAAATGGAGGAACTTACTTTGGAACGATCAAGTATAATATATCATACAAAATAAAGCGAATTGGATGAAAAATGGTGAGAAATGCACCAAATTATTTTTGAATCTTCAACATAGAAATGCTTCAAAAAATTATTTACAGATACTTGTTACAAATGACGGAGTAATCCATGATTCACAAAATGATATTTTGAAAGAGGAAGCAAAGTACTTTAAGCATATGTTCTCTTTTCAGTCTCCATTTCCACTAACTGAAGTTAACTGTAAGGAAATCGTTCCTAATAATGTTGTAAAATTAACAGCTTTACAGAAAGACTTGTGTGAGGGCCAAGTTGCAGAGGTGGAACTTATTGATAGAATTAAAGCCCTTTAGGCCAGGGAAAACTCCAGGTGGTAAGTATAAAGATCCAGTCTATCTAAAAACAACTTGAGGCCCCTTACACTTCAGTGTTTATGATGGAAAAATCCTAGCAAAATGCATAGTGCATAGAATTAAAAAGGTGTTGTCGGATATTATTCATCCTGATCATACAAGTTTTTTTTTTACACGGACAATACATTGGAGATAAAAAGTACTTGAAACAATAGAACACTATGACAAATCTAGGAAACCAGGTCTGGTATTCATAGCAGATTTTGAAAAGGCTTTTGATAAAGTATGACTAGAATTTATATATACAGTAAATGCCTGGACTAATTTAAGATAATATTTTATACAATGGGTTAAAGTTATGTATAGTAACCGCAGGTGTAAAATAATAAATACTGGCTACTTCTAAGAAAGTATTAAAATGTCGAGGAGTAAAACAAGGTTGTCCACTGTTGGCATATCGATTTATTATGGCCATCAAAATGTTAGCTCTTAAAATCAAATCCAACAATACCATAGAGGGGCTTAAAAACAAAGGTGTCGTTGTACGCTGACGACTCAAGTTTCCTCTTAAATCCGCAATCTGGATTCCTGCACACCCTCATAGAGGATCTAGATAATTTTTCTAACCTCTCTGGATTACAACCGATAAGTGTACAATATTACGTATTGGATCACTAAAAAATACTTTTACATTACCGTGTAATTTACCAATAAATGGGTCTGATGGTGAAGTGGACATACTCTGTATTCTTATCTCTAACGAAATAAAGGAACTTACTAAAACACATTTAAACAGAAAGTTAGCAAAACTAGATAAGATCTTGCTACTATGGAAAGGTAAATACCTGTCTATTTGTGGAAAAATCACCCTGATTAATTAATTAGTCATATCCCAGTTTACCTATTTACTTATGGTCCTGCCTATGATGAACGATTTGTCTTATAAATTATTTCAGAAAAAAATATTTCACTTTATTTGGAACGGCAAGCCAGATGAAATTAAACTTGCTTATTTATATCATGAATATGAGTTCGGGGGGCTAAAATTATTAAATATGAAAGCATTAAAACTCTCACTAAAAGCATCAGTCATACAAAAGTTATAAAAAGTTATACTTAAACCCGAACTGGTTCTCCAGTAGATTAGTAAGATTGGCTCACCTCTCTGAAACCAACTTCAGCACAAGAACTGTTTGTCGGGAGCTTCATGAAATGGGTTTCCATGGCCGAGCAGCCGCACACAGGCCTAAGATTACCATGCTCAATGCCAAGCGTCGGCTGGAGTGGTGTAAAGCTTGCCGCCATTGGACTCTGGAGCAGTGGAAACATGTGCTCTGTAGTGATGAATCACGCTTTACCATCTGGGTTTGGCAGATGCAAGGAGAACGCTACCTGCCCCAATGCATAGTGCCAACTGTAAAGTTTGATGGAGGAGGAATAATGATTTGGGGCTGTTTTTCATGGTTCGGGCTAGGCCCCTTAGTTCCAGTCAAGGGAAATCTTAACGCTACAGCATACAATGACATTCTAGACAATTCTGTGCTTCCAACTTTGTGGCAACAGTTTGGGGAAGGCCCTTTCCTGTTTCAGCATGACAATGGCCCCGTGCACAAAGTGAGGTCCATACAGAAATGGTTTGTCGAGATCGGTGTGGAAGAACTTGACTGGCCTGCACAGAGCCCTGACCTGAACCCCATTAAACGCCTTTGGGACCTCACTAATGTTCTTGTGGCTGTTCCAACATCTAGTGGAAAGCCTTCCCAGAATAGCGGAGACTCTTATAGCAGCAAAGGGAGACCAACTCTATATTAATGCCCATGATTTTGGAATGAGATGTTCAACGAGCAGGTGTCCACATACTTTTGGTCATGTAGTGGATATATTTTTTCATAAGCTCAATGTGAATGCAAGAGGCAGGTTGGAATGTCTGACTGAAATACGAGACAAATAAATATTTTTCTTTAAATGAGTGGTGTTTGAATTTGTTGATAAAATGCGGGACATGATTGTTTGGTTGCAGAACCAAGGGCCAAAATGCGGGACTGTCCCGCACAATCCGGGACATGTGGTCACCCTAGCTATGACACAGTGGTTTGGACAGGAATTTGTTTGTTGGTGCAATTTTCAGGCAACAATTGAGACCCCTTGTTTGGATTTGGAAATACAACAGTTGTATTGGAATGGGGCAGCGCTCGTGGGCTGTGACCATGTGGGTGTTTGAGTGAGAGACAGAAGAGAACCAATTAGTAAAAAAGCATATCTGCCTTCATTATCAATGAATCGTGCCTACAACATCAAGGAGCCTTTCCAGACTCTGAAGTCAGGAATACTTAAAGTTTGTTGTCCATCAGACTAGGAGGCGGGGGGACAGGAGTAGATATGAACACATGAAAAAGCCATTCATGTGTTCTACGAACTTTAAGCCGATCATGCTGATGACTTGATTGTTGATGTTTACTGTGTTGGGTAAACTTGGTGTCTAATTGTTAGAGTCTTGAATTTGAATCCTTATGTAAGCCTCTTGAAGGGAGCACAAACATGTTTTGTTCATACTTCTCTCTAACCTGTCTCTCTCTCCATCCCCGTTCCTCTACTCTCCCACACACTTTCTTTCATACTCTCACACACACACACCCCTGTTCTCTCGACTGGACGTGAACCCTTATTATTACTGCATTCGCCCTCCTACATTTTTACGCTCCCTTCCTCGACTGCAAGACAAATATTTTTGGACTGGTGCAATGGCTCACTTGAATGTTTTATGCATGTTTGTTTATTCCAGGTTCCTGATTAGTCAGACAGTCAGTCACAGGGAAATAGCAGCAAAGCCCTGCTGATAAGGCATCTGCCTAGCACTGGGGTCTCATGGGAACTGTAAAATGAGTGTTTCATCGACTGTGAGCCGAAAAATCAGGTTGAAGGAGGGCTTAAACCCGCCCATAAATTATGAGCCCAATGTTTGGTTTGTTTCTCTCCGGCACTGCTGGTGGGAGACCCGGGGATGTAGCGCCTCCCTGCCTCCCTCCCCCTCTCTCTCCTCCCTCCCCTCTCTCTGTTCCCCGGGGTGTCTGTGGCAGCTCTTCTCTCCTCCGCACAGCGTGTTGTGCATTGCCTGCTTGTCTCCAGGATCTCTGCCTCCTCTCTCTTTCTCTCTCTTGCTCTTAGATTTGACAGTGATAGGGAAGGCAGTGTGGTCTCTGTCTCGCTTTCACACGCACACACTTACACGGGTGTACGCATGCACGCAGTGTGTCGTAGAAGGGATAGGGCAGTTGTTTGTCAGTCTGGAGTCCTGCAGACAGTGGAAGGGAGGAAAGCGCTGGTTGTGAGCTGCGGAACCCACATTGCTCACAGCGGAGTGAGCAAATCTCTCTCTCCCAGTCTGCAGCCTTCAACAACAGCAGCCGCATCAGTTTTCAGAGCAGCACTTTCCCCCTCCCTTCTTCCTCTTGTTCTTTATCTCTCTCCCTTTCTGTCGCTCGCACTCCTGCTCTCAACACTGCCGCCAATGTAGAGTTCTGAGGCAGCAAGCAAGTAGCCAAGGCTTTCACATTTTTCTACCACAATGACAAGCAGTGGACAGACAGCTGGAGAAAGACGGACAATCCGGGAGATCTGAGGGGAAAGGTATTTGATGGGCATCAGTTGGATTTAACCCCCCCCCCCCCTCCCCCCCTCTCATCCGTCCTGCCAGCCTCATCCCGACAAATCCTCTCCCTCACTCTCGCTCTCTATCTGGCTCTCTTCATGTAAGATTACCATCGGCCACTCCTGCTAAAGCACCGCTGCACAGTCCTGGGCATAGAGTGAGGGGAAGCGGAGGCTGACCCAAAACAGGGAAGAAGACTGCAGAGGAAGCCCCTGGACTGGAGCATTAAAAAATAAAAAATAAAATAAATAAATAGGACGTGGATCAGAGTGCCATTGAGAGGCAGCGGGTTGGAGCTGCAGAGGAGGGTTGCTGCCTTTCCTGGCTTGTTTCTCATTGACAGACACAAACGGGATGTACAGCTCTGGTCTGAAAATTGCCACACCATGGATCGATACCCTCCTGCCTGCCTTTTTCTTCTGCATTTTTTCTCACGGGAGAGTAAAGCATCTTGGGATTTACCGTCATTTCATTTCCACCTAACTACAGCAAGGCTTGCCCCGCCGTTCAGCACTCTCACCTACCCGTGTCCAACCTGTGTGTGTGTATGTGTGTGTCTGTGTTTGTTTGTGTGTGTACTTAGCTAGCTCAGCGCCAGAGGGAGTGTATATTTGCTTACATGTGCATCCGTATGAGCTGCTTGGCTTGTAATTACTTGTACATGTCTGTGGGTGCTCTCTTGTGTCCATTTGTGTGTGGGTATAAATGTAGGAATTTTGTGTGGGTGAATTGGTAAGATGCCCAGTATTGGTTCCGTGCCCCATCCCCTCGCTGACCTTTGACAGCATCAGCAGGATGAGTGAGCGCTCGGGAGCGAGCACTCTGGGGGCCATGACCCTGGAGGAACCCAGGGGCGAAGAGGCCTCCCCTGAGGCCCCGGGGCCTCTTCGCTGTGGGCCCTGTGCGGTGTGGCACCGCCAGCAGACCTGGCTGTGTGCAGTGCCATTGGTGATGGGCTTCGTGGGCCTGGGCCTCAGTCTCATGCTACTCAAATGGATTGTAGTGGGCTCCGTTCAAGACTATGTGCCCACGGACCTAGTGGATGCCAAGGGCATAGGGCAGGACCCCATCTTTCTCTCTGAACCCAGCGCTCCACCCAAGCAACCAGACACTATGACCACGACTATGAAGACCACCACCACAGCGGTGGTCTCCACCACCCCTCTAGCAGCCAACGGCACGGTCCCAGCCCCGAGAACTCAATTTGGTCTGCCCTCCAACCACTCGGCCCCACACCTCCACAACCGGGTCGGCAGTGGCACCCGCACCACACGACTTCCCCCGCCCGGGGGTAAAGAAGTGACGCCGCACAGCACCACGGTACGGCGGGTAGGCGGCACAGCCAACGGTCGGAAGGATAAGGACCCCCCGAACTCGCGATCCGGTCCAACCTTCACAACCACCAAAGCCACTAGCACAACCGCTATCGCCAACACGACAACCAAGGCGCTACCACCAACTTTTCCACCATCTCCCCCAGCCAAGCCCACCGGGCACTGGGACCCTGGACGCTCTGAGAAAGGTCCCGCCACACGCCCACACCACCGCTTCAGAACACGTAAGTCTGCTTTTCTAAAAGGGAGGGTTTGTTTGTGTCTGTGTGTGCAAATGATATAGAGTGTTTCACAAGAGCTCTAGCGTTTGTTCTGTCTGGCTGATTGCATTGGAGAGCTGGTGGAGCTGGTGCCCAATCAAATCAAATCAAATGTATTTGTCACATGCGTGTAGATGCTTACTTTCAAGCCCTTAACCAACAATGCAGTTCAAGAAATAGAGTTTAGAAGATATTTAGAGAACAGTCTATGACTTAGGTGACTGGAGTCTTTGACACATTTTTGCAGTCTCCTGAGGGGGAAAAGGTATTGTCGTGCTCTCTTCACGGCTGTCTTGGTGTGTTTGGACCATGATAATTTGTTGGTGATGTGGACACCAAGGAAATTGAAAATCTTGACCCACTCCACTACAGCCCCGTCGATGTGAATAGGGGCGTGTTTGGCCCTCCTTTTCATGTAGTCCACGATCAGCTCCTTTGTCTTGCTTACGTTGAGGGAGAGGTTGTTGTCCTGCCACTACACTGCCAGGTCTCTGACCTCCTCCCTATAGGCTGTCTCATCGTTGTCGGTGATCAGGCCTACAACTGTTGTGTGATCAGCAAACTTAATGATGGTGTTGGAGTCGTGCTTGTCCATGCAGTCGTGGGTGAACAGGGAGTAAAGGAGGGGACTAAGCACGCACCCCTGAAGGGCCCGCGTGTTGAGGATCAGCGTGGCAGATGTGTTGTTGCCTACCCTTACCACCTGGGGGCGGCCCGTCAAGAAGTCCAGGATCCAGTTGCAGAGGGAGGTGTTTAGTCCCAGGGTCTACACTATGGTGTTGAACGCTGAGCTGTAGTCAATGAACAGCATTCTCACGTACGTGTTCCTTTTGTCCAGGTGGGAAAGGGCAGCGTGGGGTGCGATTGAGATTGCATAATCTGTGGATCTGTTGGGGCGGAAAGCGAATTGGAGTGGGTCTAGGGTTTCCGGGATGATGGTGTTGATGTGAGCCATTACCAGCCTTTCAAAGCACTTCATGGCAACCGACATGAGTGCTACAGGGCGGTAGTTATTTAGGCAGGTTACCTTCGCTTTCTTGGGCACAGGGACTATGGTGGTCTGCTTGAAACATGTAGGTATTACAAACTCGGTCAGGGAGAGGTTGAAAATATCAGTGAAGACACTTTCCAGTTGGTCTGCGCATGCTCTGAGTACACGTTCTGGTAATCCGTCAGGCCCCGCGGCCTTGTGAATGTTGACATGGTTTAAAGGTCTTGCTCACATCGGCTACGGAGAGCGTGATCACACGCATTAAAGTCCTCAGCCACTAGGGGCACCGCTTTTGGATGAGCATTTTCTTGTTTGCTTATGGCCTTATACAGCTTGTTGAGTGCGGTCTTAGTGCCAGCATCGGTTCGTGGTGGTAAATAGACGGCTATGAAAAATATAGATGAAAACTCTCTTGGTAGATAGTGTGGTCTACAGCTTATCATGAGGTACTCTACCTCAGGTGAGCAATACTTCGAGACTTCCTTAATATAAGACATCGCGCACCAGCTGTTATTGAGAAATAGACTCATACCCCCACCCCTCATCTTGCCAGACGTAGCTGTTCTGTCCTGCCAATGCACGGAAAACCCAGCCAACTGTATATTATCCGTGTCGTCGTTCAGCCACGACTCGGTGGAACATAAGATATTACAGTTTTTAATGTCCGTTGGTAGGATAGTCTCGAACGGAGATCATACAGTTTATTCTCCAGTGATTTCACGTTGGCCAATAGAACAGATGGTAGAGGCGGGTTACCCACTCGCCGACAAATTCTCACACGGCACCCCGATCTCCGCCCCCTGTATTTCCGTATTTTCTTCACGCGAATGACTGGGATTTGGGTCTGGTCTCGGAGAAGCAGTATATCCTTTGCGTCGGACTCGTTCAGTTCAAGGTGAGTAATCGCTGTTCTGATATCCAGAAGCTCTTTCGGCATAAGAGACGGTAGCTGCAACATTATGTTGAAAATAAGTTACAAACAATGGGAAAAATACACAAAATAGCACAGTTGGTTAGGACCATACATTAATGTATTGCTGCTGCTGAAGAAACCCCCCCTCAAAAGGCTACCTTGTATAAACCATAGTCTAAATATGTATAAAGATGAGTTCCTCTAACGTCATGAAAGGAGGCACTCGTGTAATACAATGGCATTCACACTGTGGCTGAATAGTAATCTGAGAGCACTTGAATTCCTTCCCCTGACCTTTACCTTTGACTTGTACATTAACCTTTTACTGCAGTGGGCTAAATCAGGGTCACAAAGTGTTTCTTGGTAGTCTTAAACAAAGCTACTTTGAAACGAAAGTATATACATCACATACATGGTTATGGTCTTTAAAAAAAAGAACACACCTGTACCATGTCAGATATAGAGTGGAAATGTATTCAATTTTGAGTTTGCATCACAATATTACACTTTATATACAGCACCAGTCAAAAGTTTTAGAACACCTACTCATTCAAGGGTTTTTCTTAATTTTCTACTATTTTCTACGTTGTATAATAATAGTGAAGACATCAAAACTATGAAATAACACATATGGAATCATGAAGTAACCAAAAAAGTGTTAAACAAATCAAAATATATTTTATATTTGAGATTCTTCAAATAGCCACCCTTTGCCTTGATGACAGCTTTGTATTATCTCAACCAGCTTCACCTGGAATGCTTTTCCAACAGTCTTGAAGGAGTTCCCACATATGCTGAGCACTTATTGGCTGCTTTTCTTTCATTCTTCTGTCCGACTCATCCCAAAACATCTCATTTGGGTTGAGGTCGGGGGATTGTGGAGGCCAGGTCATCTGATGCAGCAATCCATCACTCTCCTTTTTTTTTTTTAGGGGGTAGATCAGCTTTAATATTTCAGATAGATGGTAATTTCCATCAATGTAATTGTCTGCATCACTTCCAATCCCCGATGTTTTTTTTCTCGCATATATATATATATATATATATATATATATAGAGAGAGAGAGAGAGAGAGAGAGTGGGGAGAACAAGTATTTGATACACTGCCGATTTTGCAGGTTTTCCTACTTACAAAGCATGTAGAGGTCTGTAATTTTTATCATAGGTACACTTCAACTGTGAGAGATGGAATCTAAAACAAAAATCCAGAAAATCACAATGTATGATTTTTAAGTAATTAATTAGCATTTTATTGCATGACATAAGTATTTGATACATCAGAAAAGCAGAACTTAATATTTGGTACAGAAACCTTTGTTTGCAATTACAGAGATCATACGTTTCCTTTAGGTCTTGACCAGGTTTGCACACCCTGCAGCAGGGATTTTGGCCCACTCCTCTGTACAGACCTTCTCCAGATCCTTCAGGTTTCGGGGCTGTCGCTGGGCAATACAGACTTTCAGCTCCCTCCAAAGATTTTCTATTGGGTTCAGGTCTGGAGACTGGCTAGGCCACTCCAGGACCTTGAGATGCTTCTTACGGAGCCACTCCTTAGTTGCCCTGGCTGTGTGTTTTGGGTCATAGTCATGCTGGAAGACCCAGCCACGACCCATCTTCAATGTTCTTACTGAGGGAAGAGGGTTGTTGGCCAAGATCTCGCGATACATGGCCCCATCCATCCTCCCCTCAATATGGTGCAGTCGTCCTGTCCCCTTTGAAGAAAGCATCCCCAAAGAATGATGTTTCCACATCCATGCTTCACGGTTGGGATGGTGTTCTTGGGGTGGTATTCATCCTTCTTCTTCCTCCAAACACGGCGAGTGGAGTTTGGACCAAAAAGCTATATTTTTGTCTCATCAGACCATTCTTCCTCTGGATCATCCAGATGGTCATTGGCAAACTTCAGACGGGCCTGGACATGCGCTGGCTTGAGCAGGGGGACCTTGCGTGCGCTGCAGGATTTTAATCCATGACGGCGTAGTGTGTTACTAATGGTTTTCTTTGAGACTGTGGTCCCAGCTCTCTTCAGGTCATTGACCAGGTCCTGCCGTGTAGTTCTGGGCTGATCCCTCACCTTCCTCATGATCATTGATGCCCCACGAGGTGAGATCTTGCATGGAGTTCCAGACCGAGGGTGATTGACCGTCATCTTGAACTTCCTCCATTTTCTAATAATTGCGCCAACAGTTGTTGCCTTCTCACCAAGCTGCTTGCCTATTGTCCTTTAGCCCATCCCAGCCTTGTGCAGGTCTACAATTTTATCCCTGATGTCCTTGCTCTCTGGTCTTGGCCATTGTGGAGAGGTTGGAGTCTGTTTGATTGAGTGTGTGGACAGGTGTCTTTTATACAGGTAACGAGTTCAAACAGGTGCAGTTAACACAGGTAATGAGTGGAGAACAGGAGGGCTTCTTAAAGAAAAACTAACAGGTCTGTGAGAGCCGGAATTCTTACTGGTTGGTAGGTGATCAAATACTTATGTCATGCAATAAAATGCACATTAATTATTTAAAAATCATACAATGTGATTTTCTTGATTTTTGTTTTAGATTCCGTCTCTCACAGTTGAAGTGTACCTATGATAAAAATGACAGACCACTACATGCTTTGTAAGTAGGAAAACCTGCAAAATCGGCAGTGTATCAAATACTTGTTCTCCCCACATGCAATTATATGATGGTCCGACCGCATTCTGTCCCCTATCAACACTTTTTAAACTTTTGGTGCCAATGAGAATGACATAAGAAAGAATTCAAGACGACTAGCTTGATTGAGTCTCCGCCATGTATATCTCACTAGATCAGGATATTTAAGCCTCCATATATCTACTAGTTCTAATGTATCCATGACATTCTCGATTTCCTTAAGAGCATGAGGGTGATTGTTTGTAGTGTGATTTCCTTTACTCTCCTTCTTGGTAAAATAGCCCTTACACAGCCTGGAGGTGTGTTGGGTCATTGTCCTATTGAAAAACAAGTAGTCCCACTAAGCCCAAACCAGATGGGATGGCATATCTCTGCAGAATGCTGTGGTAGCCATGCTGGTTAAGTGTGCCTTGAATTCTAAATAAATCACAGACAGTGTCACCAGCAAAGCAGCCCCACACCATAACACCTCCTCCTCCATGCTTTATGGTGGGAAATACACATGCTGAGATCATCCGTTCACCCACACCGCATCTCAAAAATCTCAAATTTGGACTCCAGACCAAAGGACACATTTCCACCGATCCATTGCTCGTGTTTCTTGGCCCAAGCAGGTCATTCCTTATTATTGGTTTCCTTTATTAGTGGTTTCTTTGCAGCAATTCAACCATGAACGCCTGATTCACACAGTCCCCTCTGAACAGTTGATGTGGAGATGTGTCTGTTACTTGAACTCTGTGAAGCATTTATTTGGGCTGCAATTTCTGAGGCTGGTAACTCTAATGAACATCCTCTGCAGCAGAGGTAACTCTGGGTCTTCCATTCCTGCGGCGGTCCTCATGAGAGCCAGTTTCATCATAGCGCTTGGTGGTTTTTGCGACTGCACTTGAATAAACCTTCAAAGTTCTTGAAATGTTTAGTATTGACTGACTTTCATGTCTTAAAGTAATGGACTGTCGTTTCTCTTTGCTTATTTGAGCTGTTCTTGCCATAATATTTACGTAGTCTTTTACCAAATAGGGTTATCTTCTGTAAACCCCCTTACCTTGTCACAACACGACTGATTGGCTCAAACGCATTAATTCCACAAATTAACTTTTAACAAGGCCCACCTGTAAATTGAAATGCATTCCAGGTGACTACCTCATGAAGCTGGTTGAGAGAATGCAAAGAGTGTGCAAAGCTGTCATCAAGGCAAAGGGTGGCTATTTGAAGAATCTCAAATATAAAATATATTTTGATTTGTTGAACACTTTTTTGGTTACTACATGATTCCATATGTGTTATTTCATTGTTTTGATGTCTTCACTATTATTCTACAATGTAGAAAATAGTAAAAAATAAAGAAAAACTCTTGAATGAGTTGGTGTTCTAAAACTTTTGACCTGTAGTGTATTTCACTGGCTGCATTCCAAATGGCACCCTATTCCCTCTATAGTTTACTTCTTGTGACGAAAGTAGTGCACAATAGGGAATAGGGTGCCATTTCGGACGTATTCACTGAAACCTCACATGGTTCCATTCTTCATCTGTTCTTTTCCTCTTTCCCCCTCCGTCTTGGTGAAGGTCGCTCATTCTCTCCACATCATTGTCTTATACCTCAATTTATTTACTCCTGTCTATTTCTGTCGCTCTTTCTCCTTCACTTTCTATCTTTGAATCTTTTCAATTAGATCTCTTTAATCGTAGAAATACTGCATTACGCATGCAAGCACACACAGATGTAAGCTCACATTTACACACGCACACACACTGTGACTTACGTTTTTTCTCAGCCTTGATTCTCTTTTGCCAAAGTGTCTAGCAAGGCTTTTTGTACAGAGCATCATTGGCCCTATTTAAGAAACCAAGGAGTGGATGTAGCACTACAAGTGTGTGTGGGAGACAGTAAGACATTGTATCTGAAAGTCGTTGGCCATAAGCCCGCTTCTCTGATAAGTGTAGTAGGGGATTGGGGGACTCTTCCTTCACTGAAACATCATTGAAATCCCACGGACACCTTACAGTGTGAAGTCCTCTGTAGCTTCACACTGTGGTCCTCTGTAGCTCAGCTGGTAGAGCACAGCGCTTGTAATGCTAAGGTAGTGGGTTCGATCCCCAGGACCACCCATACACAAAATAAAAATGTATGCACGCATGACTGTAAGTCGCTTTGGATAAAAGCATCTGCTAAATGGCATATTATTTATTTATTATAAGTCAAAAGCCAGCATTCTGGAGTGGAATTTTCCCAGGTAGGAGAGCACATATATGGAACGACAGATGGCGGTGACACAAGAAACGAATAAACACAAACAAGGAGTTCACACAGGAGAATCTGGATGTCACACTGAAATAGTTTGACTTTATGTTTTCTGACACGTTAGCCCTGTGCTTTTCATGTTCCCAGCTGTTCATGTATCCCTGATTGGGCAGTGGACCGTGTAGGGAGGTTAAAAAATAAATAAATCCTGTTTATTTCTCTACACACAGTAAATTAAGGATAGTTGAAATCACAGTGTGAAAAAAAAAAAGGTTATATTGACTCTACTGGGAGTTCTCTTAATCCTCAAGAGTAGGGGTGTCAAACTCATTCCATGGAGGGCCTAGTGTCTGTTGTTGTTTTTTCCCCCCTTTCAATTAATACCTAGACAAACAGGTGAGGGGAGTTCCTTACTAATTAGCGTCCTTAATTGATCAATCAAGTACAAGGGAGGAGCGGAAACCCGCAGACACTCGGCCCTCCATGGAATGAGTTTGACACGTGCTCAAGAGAGTGATACGCTTCCTGGACTTATTGTTAATAACGGTAGTTGATTGGGACAGAGTACTTTTAACTCCATTAAGAGTAACCAGAGACGGGGAGTTAAATCTATGGCGTTATCCACAGATGTGGGAGGGACCTCATTGTCACATTTCCCAGCATGTTCTGTTGCAGGTTGATTTTTAAATAGCTGTGTTTTCGCATGTACATCGATTATTGTTGATCTTATGCTACACAAAGATAAGAAACATACATTTTTCTAAACTAATCCAATCTGGAAGTGGTTGGACTGCACTGTTAGCGAGACAGTTGTTCCAGTTGACATGTTGTACAGTGGCTTGTGAAAGTATTCACTCCCCTTGGCATTTTTCCTATTTTGTTGCCTTACAACCTGGAATTAAAATGGATTTTTGGGGGGTTTGTATCATTTGATTTACACAACATGCCTACCACTTTGAAGATGCAAAATATTTTTTATTGTGAAACAAACAAGAAATAAGACAAAAAAAAAAACAGAAAACTGGAGCGTGCATAACTAATTTTGCCACCTTTTGCAGCAATTACAGCTGCAAGTATATTGGGGTATGTCTCTATAAGCTTGGCACATCTAGCCACTGGGAATTTTGCCCATTCTTCAAGGAAAAACTGCTCCATCTCCTTCAAGTTGGATGGGTTCTGCTGGTGTACAGCAATCTTTAAGTCATACCAGAGATTCTCAATTGGATTGAGGTCTGGCCTTTGACTAGGCCATTCAAAGACATTTAAATGTTTCCCCTTAAACCACTTGAGTGTTGCTTTAGCAGTATGCTTAGGGTCATTGTCCTGCTGGAAGGTGAACCTCCGTCCCAGTCTCAAATCTCTGGAAGACTGAAACAGGTTTCCCTCAAGAATATCCCTGTATTTAGCGCCATACATCATTCCTTCAATTCTGACCAGTTTCCCAGTCCCTGCCGATGAAAAACATCCCCACAGCATGATGCTGCCACCACCATGCTTCACTATGAGGATGGTGTTCTCGGGGTGATGAGAGGTGTTGGGTTTGTGCCAGAAATAGCGTTTAACCTTGATGGCCAAAAAGCTCAATTTTTGTCTCATCTGACCAGAGTACCTTATTCCATATGTTTAGGGAGTCTCCCACGTGGCTTTTGGTGAACACCAAACGTGTTTGCTTATTTTCTTCTTTAAGCAATTGCTTTTTTCTGGCCACTCTTCCGTAAAGCCCAACTCTGTGGAGTGTACGGCTTAAAGTGGTCCTATGAACAGATACTCCAATCTCCGCTGTGGAGCTTTGCAGCTCCTTCAGTGTTATCTTTGGTCTCTTTGTTGCCTCTCTGATTAATGCCCTCCTTGCCTGGTCCGTGAGTTTTGGTGGGTGGCCCTCTCTTGGCAGGTTTGTTGTGTTGCCATATTCTTTTAATAATGGATTTAATGGTGCTCCGTGGGATGTTTCTGATATTTTTTTATAACCCAACCATGATCTGTACTTCACCACAACTTTGTCCCTGACCTGTTTGGAGAGCTCCTTGGTCTTCATGGTGCCGCTTGCTTGGTGGTGCCCCTTGCTTAGTGGTGTTGCAGACTCTGGGGCCTTTCAGAACAGGTATATATTTACTGAGATCATGTGACAAATCATGTGACACTTAGATTGCACACAGGAGGACTTTATTTAAGTAATTATGTGACTTCTGAAGGTAATTGGTTGCACTAGATCTTATTTAGGGGCTTTATAGCAAAAGGTTGTAATGCAACAAAATAGGAAAAACGCCAAGGGGGATGAATACTTTTGCAAGGCACTATAGGTAGTCCCCATGTACTGTATTTTCATCCCTACTAGACAGGTATTTTATATGTAAATTGTGGGTGATGTGAAAGTGCTGGATATATTCCTGTAAGTCGGATTCCAATAGAGATTGGGTATCACATTGCAAACCATCATAACATGACACATTAAGAAATATTCAAATAAGGCTTTACACCGTTATAACTCGAAGGAAGTAAACCGAAAGAGAAATGTACTCTGCTGGAGTTGATTGTTAATTCAAAACAACACAGAAAAGTGTAAAATGGTCAGGGAGTTGTTAAAAAACGAAGCTGAAAATAGTAAAATAACAATTGGCTTTAAATTTAAGAAACTCTCTGAGAGTTGGATATTTACTCCATTTTGTGTTGTTTTATATATCAACACCATGACCAGAGTAGTTTTAACACAAAATGGGGGTGGGACCATATAACCCCCAAAATATTGTTCAATTTGATTCCATAGAATTTGAATTAACTCTTGCGATTTTACTGTGTAGGGAGGTCAGGCTCAGATTTGCCTTCCTGCCTCTGAGGCCCCTCTTGTTTTTCCTCAGACAAGTTCTGCTTGCTCGCGAGGGTCAGTCATGAGCTGGCTAGGCGCTGTGCGGATTATCAGAGCGACATATATCTTACCAAGTAATTCTAAACAATGATAGCATTACCTGATACTTTGTAAGAAGATAAGGGAAGTTGTGCGGCATCTAGCTCAGGCAACCTAGGAGAGGGGCTGGGACCATCAAGGTACTATACCAGCCCTGTGATCTATATTCTTCTCTCAAAGCAGGAGAGGGAGTTATGAGAGAGGGGGGAATACTTAGAGAAAGAGCTAGAGAGTGGGATGTATAACAAAGGAGAAGGAGATACTGAGAGAGAAAAAGAGGGAGAGGAGAGGGAGATACCGAGAGAGAGTGAAAATAGGGATTATTAAAAGATGAAGATGACAGAAAGGGAACGAGGGAGATAGAGACAGAAAAAGAAAAAAAGAGAAAAAAAGAGAATGGGAGGTGGAGACCGAGAAACTATGTCGCGAGGCTACGTCCCAAATGGCACCCTATTCCCTATTTAGTGTGCTACTTTAGACCAGGGCCAGTAGGGCTCTAGTCAAAAGTAGTGCATTATGTAGGGAATAGAGGACCCTTTGGGATGCAGACCGAGGGTAGCGAGGGACAGTAGATGCCTCATCAACCACCATTTTAAACTTCCTCGTACCATTTTACTTTGGTCCTGTTTGTCCTCAAGCTATCATGTATAGTGCATTCCGAAAGTATTCAGACCCCTTGACTTTTTCCACATTTTGTTACATTACAGCCTTATTCTAAAATGCTTTAAAAAAAAATCTATCTACACACAATACCCCATAATGACAAAGCAAAAACAGGTCTTTAGAAATTTTAGCAGATGTATTAAAAACTGAAATATCACATTTATATAAGTATTCAGACCCTTTACTCAGTACTTTGTTAAAGTACCTTTGGCAGCGATTACAGCCTTGAGTCTTCTTGGGTATGATGCTCCAAGCTTGGCACACCGGTATTTGGGGAGTTTCTCCCATTCTTCTCTGCTGATCCTCTCAAGCTCTGTCAGGTTGGATGCACAGTTATTTTCAGGTCTCTCCAGAGATGTTCGATCAGGTTCAAGTCCGGGCTCTGGCTGGGCCCTCAAGGACATTCAGAGACTTGTCCTGAAGCCACTCCTGCATTGTCTTGGCTGTGTCCTTAGGGTCGTTGTTCTGTTTGATGGTGAACCTTCGCCCCAGTCCGAGGTCCTGAGCTCTCTGGGCAGTCTCCCAGTCCCTCGATCCTGACTAGTCTCCCTGCCCCTGAAAAACATCCCCACAGCATGATGCTGCCACCACCATGCTTCACCGTAGGGATGGTACCAGGTTTCCTCCAGACGTGACGATTGGTATTCAGGCCAAAGAGTTCAATCTTGGTTTCATCAGACCAAAGAATCTTGTTTCTCATGGTCTGAGAGTCCTTTAGGTGTCTTTTGGCAAACTCCAAGAGGGCTGTCATGTGCCTTTTACTGAGGAGTGGCTTCCGTCTGGCCACTCTACCATAAAGGCCTGATTGGTGGAGTGCTGAAGAGATGGTTGTCCTTCTGGAAGGTTCTCCCATCTGCTCAGAGGAACTCAGGAGCTCTGTCAGATTGACCATCGGGTTCCTGGTCACCTCCCTCACTAAGCCCTTCTCCCCCGATTGCTCAGTTTGGCCAGGCGGACAGCTCTGGGAAGAGTTTTGGCGGTTTCAAACTTCTTCCATTTAAGATTGACGGAGACCACTGTGTTCTTGGGGACCTTCAATGCTGCACAAATTTTTTGGTACCCTTCCCCAGATCTGTGCCTCGACACAATCCTGTCTGAGCTCTATGGACAATTCCTTCGACCTCATGGCTTGGTTTTTGCTCTGACATGCACTGTCAACTGTGGGACCTTAAATAGACAAATGTGTTCCTTTCCAAATCATGTCCAATCAATAGAATTTACCACAGGTGGACACCAATCAATTTGTAGAAACATCTCAAGGATGTTTTTTTTTTTACCTTTATTTAAATAGGCAAGTCAGTTAAGAACAAATTCTTATTTACAATGACGGCCTACACCGGCCAAACCCGGACGACGCTGGGCCAATTTTGCGCCGCCCTATGGGACTCCCAATCACGGCCGGTTGTGATACAGCCTGGAATCGAACCAGGGGGTCTGTAGTGACGCCTCAAGCACCGAGATGCAGTGCCTTAGACCGCTGCCCCACTCGGGAGCCCAATATGATCAATGGAAACAGGATGCACCTGAGCTCAATTTCGAGTCTTATAGAGAAGGGTCTGAATTCGTATTAAAATACGTTTATTTTTTAATTAAAAACCTGTTTTCGCTTTGTTATTATGG